CCACGAAAAAACAGAACTCTCGGTTTTGGCCAGGTTCAACCGGTTGAATCGAAGAACTTTCCAGTTTCTCCCACTATCTACAAATTTTCTCGTTTTTCTCGTTTGATGTCTTCTCGAACGTACGCTGTTATCAAATTTAACAAAAAACAAAAAATATGCACATTAACATTTCTTCTTGCATCGAGAGCACAAATGATATATACAAAAATGAAGTCATTTTATAGTCAGCGTCTTTACATAATATAGTATTGTCCATTAAAAAATAATAACAACCCGGATATCTAACGCGCTAAATTCTGTTATAATCAGTTTAAAGTAGTTTTTTGAGAGATAATTGATATAATCTGAAGAAAATGTGTTATTTTATCTCATTTTGTTTTGTTTAGTTGCCGGATTTTTTATTCATAACTTTATACTTTTCAGATTAAGTTTTATCTAAAATTCATTTCCAGACCTTTTTAATTCATGACAATTAAAGTTTTAATTTGTTTTTTCATTGAACTTGGTGACAAAGGGGGTGGTTTAACAAAGTGCTGGGGGCTTATATTCCAACTTGGGATGGTGTAGGTTGGTTGCCCGGATTTTTTTCGCGTTTGCTCTCATCACAAAGATTTAGAATAACAAAAAATAATTTTTTTGCAATTATTTCTACAAAAAATTGCAAAATAGACTAATTTAAAAACTAAATAGAAAACGGATTATAATATAAAAAAAATAATTTTATAAAAAATTTCGAGAAAATATTCAAATTTGGTTTTGAGTTTTTACATCCCTGATTGATTATAACGGATAGTTTTTTTGGTTCGAAAACCTCTTCTTACATCGATTATACCCATTATGCTTAGGTGTTAGTTTTTTCAAGTAACTGGAACTGAGAGCTAGATCAATTCTCACCCACCTGATGCAGGGCCCATTTCAGTGGCGCACATAATAATACTTACAAAACAACTTTTTAAGCCTTATGTTCTATGCGCCATACTTTTTGAGTCTCATTCATTGCAAATTCATATAACGATTGATGCGTTTTTATGTGATACATATATGGCTTTACTGAACACTTCAGAACGAGGGCCATTGTTGAACGGTTACATTGACAAGTTTCTAGGACCCACAGCCGAGAAAATTAGCTGGTAAAAATCTTTGGAATTGAAGCTCACAACATCAAAATCTTCAAATTGTACAAAAACTTGCCAAGTATTTTTTTAAAAACGACCAAGAGCACAAAAGTTTGCTAGTACATTTTTAAAGAAAAATTACTGCTTAAAGTTTCCCCCAAAAAGATATCCAAAGTACAAAATGATAATTTTTTCCATTTGCAAAGGTTGTCCCAAACTCAAACCAATGTAATTTTTTGAAAAGAAACAGCACAGTTTGAATATCTTTTTTCATTTGAGATTGAGACAAAAAAGTTTTTCAGTTATGTTATGAAACAATTTTGTCAGAAACGCCAAAAACTGAGTGATTAAAAAACCAACCCAAACATAAATGTTCCGCGCTTTTTTGAATTTCGTAGGAAGTTAATGCAAAAAAATTTCACACAATTGATTATGAAAAGTTAGATTACCGTGAAAATTTTCGATATGTCGATTATCCAAAAAAATAATGCAAAAAAACCGAAAAACAGCTTTAGTAGGGCAAACATTCGACATTTTTCACATTTTTATTATTTTGGGCAAAGATCCGGTTTCTACCGTTTGCTTAAAAGACGGTGTGTTGGTCAAATTATTAGTGACTACGACAATTTTTTCAACGTATTGCAAGGTTGCCAACACACGGCAGTACTCTAAATGAAAATGAGAGCCGTTGGTTATTGCCGTTAAGCGGCGACGCTCGCATGGCGAGCCCATCAGTTACCGACAGTCTGCTAAATTAGAATTAGAAAATTCAGTTGTATCGTGTATCTGACATTCTTACGTCATATTGTTACATCATTACTATATAGTTTCGGTTGTTTGACATATCGGATGTTTGCCCTAGCCCAAAAAGTTAGACTGAGTTTGTTCCTCAAACTACAAAACCAACATGGTTAGGTTTCTATTTAAACTAAGCGTGTTTGTTTCAGGGATTAGCTATTAGTTACCCTTTAAGGTATTTGACGGCCAGTTTTTTGGTTTAAACTAAATAATACAAGTTAAATATTTTGGTTCTTGTTTTGATAGACTTAGATCAAATAGTATCAAAACTAGAATCAAAGTTGAAACATCAAAAAATTTTGAAATTGAAACATCAAAATCTTCAAATTGCACAAAAACTTGTCAAGAACTCTTAATTAAGTGATCCAGAAAACAAAATAAAACTTGATAAATGTCCAAATCATGAAATTTTGATAATTTGTTATCTTTCCTATCCGTGACGGGTAAGTCGTCAGTAATGGGGTAAATAATTCAGGGTTTCAGTTCAGGGGTCGATGTTTTTTTTCGTGGTATATACTACTTCGGTTGAAAACTGTTGTTTCGAAGGCTGAAAACTGATCCGAAAAATAATCCGGTCCAAGCATAAAAAATATTCTTTTCTATGACAGCCGAGCGACTATAATTCAATGAGTAGCAACAAACTTATTCTCAATTTTCTGTTATTTAAATTAGTGATTACAAAATCAGCGAATGAAGTGGCCTGATCTCAAATGAACTTATAATATTTTTATCTGCTAACATTAAACAAAAATCAAATCTTTGAAGTATTTTTGCAACGCCTTTCATGCAACACTTCAAGAATATCGTCTTTCCACCTTCAAAAACAATCAGAACTCGATAGCATTCAGGAAAATAGAATTCGACTCCAATTAAACGAGTTTATCAGTCAAAAGAAGTAACCATATATTACCTGAATAACGGTTTAATCAAAACATGATGCATTTTTGTGAATGCGATATAGCAAAGTGCGAGGCAAATTTTGTGCAAAACCAGCCTTTTGGAAATGACCCAAACATTTTGTGAGGGTTTCGCCATCGTTTGTTTCTTTGCATTTATACTTTTATTCGTATTCTTAAGTGACGTGAAAAGTTTCACAATCTAGGAATAAATTTACTCTAAACTAGTAGAATTTACAAAAATTAGATTAGAATCTTTTAACAACAGAATTGCAAATTACGTTTGTGTTATACAGCACCTTGAAAATGGATTTCAAGTGCATTTCTGTGCTGAAAATTTGCAAGTTGGGCATATGTGAGTGGGCTAAAAATTTTTAATACAAAGCTTTCAAAAATATCGTTTCCTCATAAAGTCGGTTATTGAATAACTGCTGTCGAAATAAATCAAAATTTCAAATTCATTGTGCAAAATTTCTCGGTACTACTATGATAGAGTGGTCCCCCGAAAAAGCAACTATGATAGACAGGTCCCGCATGCATTTCGCATGTTATAATTTTGAAAACCAGTTTGCTTATAAATCATTCATTTCAAAAATCTGGCGAAAGATGTTGAGTCAAAAACCTTTCAGATTGAAAATTGTGATTACTATAAATTTTATATCAAGAAATATGCTCGCTTGAGCTTATTTTACAGTTTAACAACCATAATTGGATTGACTTATTTGTCATCAAAATTCGATTTTGGCAAGTTTTTTTTGAATTTTCCACCTTATTATGATGAGGGGGGAGGTTTTACGAAACATAGAAACCTCAAATTTGTTTGAAAATATACAGCGAAATCTTTCTGAATGGCGAGAGCATAATTGTTAAACATTTCAGAGCCCTGTGTCTTTTTCGCAAGGGACCTGGTTATTTTCAAGGGACCACTCTATCATAGTAGTACCAATTTCTCATTATGATTGTATCTATTCAAAAAAAGCAAATTTGATTGCGACTCAGAATTTTGCCATTTTTTTAGTGCTGCAGACATTGATAACTATTTGAAAATCACATTAAATGAACTTAAGGTTATTTTCTACTGATTAACCCCCATTTTTGAACTTCAGTTTTCAAACATTTTTTGAAGATCAATTAAGCAATCATAACCCACTCCCCCGTTCCCCACCAAATATCGAAATCCGAGGCAATAATATTCACCCAAGCAGAAAACAATTCGTTTTTTGTTCCAAATTTTTTGATGGGGTTGGAAGATTGCTCAATTGATCCCACTCTCAACACTGCCATCCCGGGTTGACCTCCATACACCGAAAATGCTTATCATACAATTCCATACATCAAGTGTGTGGAAAAATGCTTGTCATACAATTTTCATACAATTTCTAAAAATGGTTGAAAACTGGTATAAACTCATTTCTGTGGCTGTTTGATTCTAATAAAACAATCTGGTGATAAAAAACTGAGATTTCCGTTTTTTGAAAAAAATGCTTATCATACAATTCCCATATATGGAAATTGTATGACTGGCATTTTTTGATGGCGACACAAAAAATTTTTCAAGTAATATTGAAAAATTGGCCAAAAAATTTTTTTGTTTTTTTTTTTCAACTGCAAATCGATTTTCGTACGCAAACAAACATTTTTCGAAAAAAAAATTTTGCATGCAAAATTTAATATTTTGTGTGCATAACGTAGTCATGGATACAATAAAATTGGCTTTTATTTTCTTTTCACTTAATTTTTTTTTTCAAAAACGCTGAAAATTCCTCTTTTTTTGTATGGGGTGTTAATGTACGCCTTGATCAATGTTTGATAATTTGAAATTCAAAAATTTAATATAATCATCATAAAAAAAATTTTGCCAAAAAATATAAAAATATCATATGAGTAAAATAAATTGAATGCTGACCAAATTACTATTTCGAACACTTTTTTTTCTTTAAACCAAAACTAAAAACCATGTTTTTATCCATATTATCATGCATAACTACTATCAATTTGTAAGAGTCTGCAAAGTGAAGGCGGGGTCAAAAAGAGCCGAGAGTTGGCAGAAAGAAGCTTTACCGTACCGCTCGTCGATTTTAGTTTTTAAAAGAAAAGTAAAACTTTTCCAAAAAATTAAGATTATAATGTACACTTAAGCTATTCCAGACAGAACAGAAAATGAGCAAATTTCGAGAAAAAAGCAACTCACGTGTGACAGACAGCCGACAAAGTTGGGGGAGTCGGTATAGCTCCTGCCAAAGGCGTTGCGGTCACTCTTGCCCCCCACGAAGAAGCTGCCGGTGAGTTGGAGTGAGTCATACTGTCCACTTGTGCGAACACTCTTCTGCACGTAGTCGTCTACCGTCACTTGCACCTAAGAGGGCACAACACAAAATGAAATGTGTCGAGAAAAAACTTGATAACATTTTTCTTTTCAACTAAGAATCATTAAAGCGTCGAGGAAAACATGTTAATTTTAACCCCAAGAATTACTAAAATATTTTTTTCAACACCAAAACTTCTTTATATTAATTGTAGCTGCAGCTTAAACTTTGAGAAAAAAACAACAAGAATGTTTACTCGACGATATCTGACGGGGTTGTGTGAGTGATTGTGGCACCTCTTGGTGTACAAGACACAAGAAATCAAACATTCTGTTCCAGGAGTCCTAGATGTACTACCTATCAGTGGTAATTTAGGTCGTTTATTTCAAACAAACAAAACCTCCTGCAAACATTTTCATCGGGAAATTTGCGGTTCAGAGTTTTATTGGACTCATCGCTTTATACCGCTTTATACCGCTTTATTATCTCTTGAAAGAAAACTGATAAAAACCACCCATCAATGTTTTGGTTACCCTTCATTCTCAAAACTTTTTTTTTGAAAACAAAAATGTTTTTTTTTTCAAATCTCTGAAACTTCAAACTTTTTTCTTGAAATTTCTTAAAAAAAGTCCCCTAAGTTGTTGTCAAAATTTCGACGAATTTAGAAATTGGTTTCCAAAAAGCAAGGCGCCATCGCCTTAAATTCTATTTTGCAGTAAGAAGTTAGCAGTGTCTTAAAAATAATTTGAAACAATATAAACTCTAAGTCTTTTTTTTCCTGCTAAACTGGAAGAAAATTCATGACTGGAAAAATTGGATTTAAATTGATTTGAAATCAATTTTGATCAATTTTTAGCTCGGGTTTAAGATCAAATTCAATTAGTCTTAAGTTAATCAAAATCAATTTAATGTTTCCTGTTGACTCTTCATACTTTTTTCATACAAGAAACAGATTTCATTTTTTTCTGCTTAAAAATTCTAGTTCATTTTTTGTGATTGCGGGCACCAAAGTTCAAGTGTTAGCAAACATACCTCGACTCTGAAAAAAAAAGAAAAAACATGAATCTTTTCGTTTGCAGTTAGTTGAATAAGATGAACACCAGAACAACTTTGACACATGAACAATTTTAATCCACATTTTTATCTTTTTTAATCACCCCGAGCCGTTAATCGACCGTTTCTTTAAAACATTTCAAATCTTTCTTGTAGAAAAAACGCTGAACAAAATCAAAGATAGCCAGTCGCATGCAAAAAAATTAATCTAAAATTAAATCTGAACTTCATCGTATGAATCTGAAAATTGAATATGAACTCCTAAAAAATAAATCTGAACTTATGTTGTTCAAGACCGTTCTCAGCGATGAAAAATACTTAACATTACGGATATCTTGCGCCAAAAAAATCAGTAGCAATCATTAAATGATCTAATGATTTTTCAAGTTGTGGGAGGTTCTGATTTCGTAATTTAAGAAAAAGTTTACAATTTATTTGACATTTTTTCTGGCAATTATAGTATTTTTAACTTTATTTAAGCGCCCTTAACTTTATTTTTAACTTTATTTAACTTTATTTATCAGTTCTTTTTCAAAATTAATTGAAAAGCATTCTCAGAAATACATACAAAAAATATGGATGTGACAATAAATTGTAAATATAAATCAATTCTTGTATTCTTAGCAGAATTATCGGATGGTGCAGAAACATTTTTACAAACCGCTGATCAATTTTATTGCAAATTCTTGATCCATGTGCTCATAACTAAAATTTTGTTGATACTTGAAAGATTTAGAAGAATCTGCAGTATGCAAACATTTCGCCTGTTCTGTGTTTCTAAAAAGGCTTTCAGTCCTACACCAGATTCTAACCACTGCCAGTAGAATCCAATGAAAAATTTGAAACTGTTTGAACACTACAGCGCACAAACTCTGGAGGACACATTTTTGAGTTGCCCGTTGACTTCAATTGTGCATTTTTGGTGGGTTATCGAAGTTTGATGCGGCAAGGCTAATTTTTTGAAAAATTTGAAACTGTTTGAACACTACAGCGCACAAACTCTGGAGGACACGTTTTTGAGTTGCCCGCTGACTTCAATTGAGCATTTTTGGTGGGTTATCGAAGTTTGATGCGGCAAGGCTAATTTTTGGTTGTTTTTTTTCTGGAAAAATTTTTCTCTATGGATCTTAGGCTTTTTTATAAAAAGTTTGAAACGACGTGACAGGTCAACTGGAACATTTAGGATGCGGCCATTACACAAGCAGTCTGCTTTTGTTTCTTTTCAACCTCGGTTTAATGGTTTTATGGTCATGCTTCAAACTTTAATCAAAATTCAAACTTTTTTATGTGTTTTATATTGGTATTTCATTTTTTTAAGTCCCATATTCATCGTTTCTAAAGTCCCCTTTTTTCCGTTTTTTCCATTTTTTTTTGCAAACAAAATTACAATTAAGAGCTAAAATTAAGAGCAAATAAATACCAAAGAGTTCCTTCGCCACTCTTCGGTATTTATTTGAATCTATTTATGCTGTCTTTTTTACATCTCTCGTTTGCGTTTTAACATTAGGAACTCATTAATGCAGTCATATAAACCTAGAATTCATCTTATAACAAACAAATTTTTTTGATCAATCAAACAGCCAGAGCGCCATTAATTTACAAAACGACTTTTTTTCTAAATTAGATTTTTGAAATCCCAATCTGACATAATCAGTTTAAAGTAATTTGAAATTTTAAATTTGTGAACAAAACGAGATGGAAAAAATGCTTGAAAAACAAATGAAAAGCATGCAAAATAATTGACAAAACAGTCGTTTGGTTAAAAAACTAATAATAAGTACTCAATTCTGCTGTTATTAGTGCAACTATGGGGAAAGCGCATTTAGGTAAGCTTGATGTTTTGTTGGCGCTTTTGACCATTGTAGATGGTCAAAAATAATAAATAAATTGCTTTCGAAGATAAACAGCTGATATTCCAGAAACATTAAAAAAAGAAACGCTGAAAGTTTCGTGGAATCTGCAACAAGCAAACATTGCGCTGTTCTGTGTTCCACAAAAGATAATCAATTCTACAATTTGATATTGAATTCCGTCAAAGTTTTGTACATACTCAACAGAGCAAAATAGGATTAGCGGATTGTAAATATAAATCGGAACTGCAAAACCAGGTTCTAACCACTGGAATCCAGGTCAAACCAGGTTCAAACCAGGTCCAATGGAGTCCAGTGGGTTCGGCCATGACGCGAGCAGTCTGGTTTCGTTTCACTTCAATGCTGGTTTAATGAATTAATGGTCCATTTTGAGAAGCAAAAAAAACAATTAGGAGCTGAAACGCCTTGTTGAAATGGCAGTCTTTGGGTTTGCTTTCTCATTCTGAAAATTAATTTCCTCACTTTTTACTACTATTTTAGATCCATTTTTCTGTCTTTCTTACTTTCATCATAGGCATTTTAATATTGGGGATATGTCAATGTTAATATATACCAGAAATTTTTTCTTATATACAAAATAAAAATATTTTGACCAATCAAACAGCCAGAACGGCATTATTTGAACAAAAATGAAACCAATTTCTTCAGTTACTATTTCAAAATCCATATTTTGGCATAATAAGGTTATAATCTGATTGTCGTTCGAGTTTTTTCTATTTGAAACACAACCAGATGGAAAAGCTGCTTTCTGGTTTACTAAGCGCTCATTGCTGGTTGAATGCTTAGTAATTTTATCCTAAATTATAAGTCTCACCTTAGATCGTCAAATTGTCTTGACAAAAAGTAGAGTAGAAACAATAGTTAGAAAAGGTATGAATTAATTAGTTGGTTAGATACAGAGCACTGGGTTATTAGATTATATAAATGAATCGAACAGCTTAAAGAAATATACCTATGAGGGGAGGTTGAGCTAATCTTATTTTGTTCATCAATATTTTATCTTCTTACTAAGGTCGGTGGCTGATTAGTATGTATGGTTGCCCTTGATTTTGTCCAAGTCAGCACTTCTGGTTGGGTCGTCTGAATCGTCTAGCCGTAGTCCTTTGGGTACTTGTAGTCCAGACTTCCTCGGGTGTGCGAATCTCGAGTATCTCGATTTATAATTTTTCAAACTTAAAATGAGAATTTATTCTCTTTTTATAAGTGAAAAGGGCTAGATTAATTTTAGTGTTAGGGCAGAAAAGAAAAATTATTTATTTTTAAAAGATCTGACTGAAGAGAACTGACTTGCTGCTTACTGAGCAAAATGAAACACTGAAGATTTCAGGCCAGTCCTTTTGCTCATAAGCATAAACCGGCGGCTGATTCAATCTTTAATTATTCAGGTTTCACCTGCTCCTTTGTTCTCCCTTTTTAATAAGGGAATTTTCAACTAGTTTTTATTTGATTTTTTCAAATCAAATATCTTCAACTTATTAGTCCCCTTTATTAAAAACCGCAGCCTTCAGTTTGTCTTATTAAAAATTCATATTACTCTCTCTGATGCATCATATTGCAGGTGCACCTCTGCTTAATCAAAGCAAGGAGAATTTCAGTGCAGCCGGCAAGACTGCTAAATATTTATCTAGTTTGTTTCAAGTTAAGTTAAAAGGGACGTATTAATAATCGCCGCCCTTTTAAAATATTGAGCATGAAAAAACGAGAAAAATTGGACAAGTATTTAAAAAGGAGTGGATTTTCAAAACAAGATTTTATAGTCCTAATAAGAGTAAATCAGTCAATATCTGATTTAGTGAAAAGAGGCTTTAATTTAAATGGCACGCTCCAATTTAGAATTGGGTCGTTAAATAAACAATTAAGACAATGGTCTTTTGTGTGTGTGTAGTATTTCGAAATACTACAACTCACCCCTTTTTTTAGAAAACTAAGCTGTTCGATTCTTACAGTTACCATGGTCAAAATTTAAACACTAATGGTTAAATACTATAGTTATAAAATTTAAAGAGAACATCAAACGAAAAAGTTATAAAGATAAGTTAGGTTTTATCTAGAGCTTCCTTCCGGATTCAAGCTCCACATTGTATGATGTGAGGATCGCTATCTTCCTCTGTGAAGCCTCAAGTTTT